TCTCAATGATGCATTGTTAACCGGACCGGACTTATTGAAGTCGTTGTTCGGAGTTCTGCTACGATTCAGAGAAGGAAGCGTGGCAGTGATGGCAGACATTAAAGAAATGTTCCTGCAAGTGAAAATCCGGGAAGAAGACAGGGATAGCCTTCGATTCTTATGGCGGCACAATCGTGACGCGCCACCGGAAGAGTATAGAATGACGTCACTCATATTTGGAGCGGCATCATCACCATGCATCGCTATATATGTAAAGAATAGGAATGCGCAGGACAACGCACATATCTATCCAGAAGCAGCTTCCGCTACGGAAAGCAATTTTTATATGGATGACTATCCACAGGCATTTCCCGACGTGACGACGGCCGAAAGGATAGTAAACGATATGTATGAATTACATAAACATGCTTCTTTCCAACTGAGGGGATGGGCTAGCAACCGACCCGAAGTTTTAAGTAAAATGGAAAATAAATATAAGAGCGACAGTGCTTCGCTGGGAGATAAAGAGCACACAGAGCGCACATTAGGTTTGATTTGGAATATCAAACGGGATATAATAAGTTTCTCCATAAGTCTTCGTAACACACCGGAAGAGGTGATGGAAGGTTTACGACCACCTACGAAGAGAGAGATAACTAGCGCTGTGATGTCAGTCTTCGATCCTTTAGGACTCGCATCACCCATAACGATTCAAGGGAAGTCGCTGATCCAGCAAGTATGGAGGACAGGCATCTCTTGGGATGAAGAAGTTTCACACGAATTACACATGTTATTTTGTAAATGGATATCGGAAGTGAAGAAATTAGGTCATTTAGAAGTACCTAGACCCGTTGCTGAAGGCGTCGGCAAGGGAGAGTTACACACTTTCACGGATGCTAGTGAAAAAGCATACGCTGCCGCGGTGTATTACGTCACCACGGACGAGCTAGGAAAAAGGCGGATTACGCTGATCGCCGCAAAGGCAAGAGTAGCGCCGCTGAAACCAATTTCGATTCCAAGGCTTGAATTGCAAGCAGCTCTTATGGGCAGCAGACTGGCTGCATCAGTTAGTGAAGAGAGCAAGTACGAGATATCCGAGAGAGTATTTTGGACGGACTCACGTACAGTGTTAGCGTGGATTAAGTCAGATCCTCGCGCTTTTAAACCATTCGTTGCTCATCGATTGGCTGAGATCGAAGATCACAGTAAGCCATGTGAATGGCGATGGGTTCCAACGTCACAGAACGTGGCAGACGACGCCACTAGAAATTTTCCTTCCACCTTCGATGTAAGTCATCGCTGGTTTCAAGGACCTGAATTCCTCAGGAAAAGTCCTGATTTATGGCCCAAACAAGTGGACACCATAAAAAGCTTAGAAACAGGTGAAGAAAAATCGCCAAAAGGCGTAAATGCGCTGAGAAAGCAAGAACCGTTAAGTCTACCCGACTACGGACGATTTAGCAGCTTTAAGAAATTCCTTAGGGCAACTACACGCACCTTACAAGCGGTAGAAAAATTCAAGAGTTTAAGAAAGTCGGTTAAAGGACCCGACGACGCAGCCGAAAAGTCGGTTATGTGTTCCAACAAAGTTTTAGCAAAGTCGGTTAAAGGACCCGATGGCGCGTTGGACATAGCGCTCTTGAGAAAAGCGGAATTGTTAATTTGGAAATTCGTTCAAGACGCGTGTTTTCATTCGGAAATAAAATGCTTGAAAGCAGGCAAAAGCGTTGAAAGAAGTTCACGCTTAAGTAAATTATCTATGGAAATAGGAGAAGATAACTTACTCCGTTTAAATGGACGTTTACCTTTTAAGTCTAATTTGTCCGAGGAAAGTAGAAAACCTGTCATATTGGACGGTAAACACGAAATCGTTAAAATGATGATTAGAGAAGTTCATCATCATTTTGGACATGCCAATCACCAGACGGTGATGAATGAGGTGAACCAGAAATTTTATATCTTGAACTTGCGTAATGTAGTACGTAGTGTGCCACACCATTGTCAGTGGTGCAGGACATACAGGTCAAAACCGCAGAACGTGCCACAAGGAAATATTCCTCTGGAGAGAATAACTCATCATGAACCACCTTTTACGTGCTCAGCTGTGGATTATTTCGGACCTATGAGTGTGACTATAGGAAGGCGACACGAAAAACGTTGGGGTGTTTTATTCACGTGTCTGACCACAAGAGCAGTACATCTGGAATTAGCAGCCTCATTGACACCAGCGTCAATGATAATGGCATTGAGGCGATTTATCGCCAGAAGAGGAAAACCAGCCGTTATATACAGTGATAACGGGACGAATTTCAAAGCTGCGAATAAAGAATTATTGAAAGCATACGAAGAATGCCATGAGGGCATGAAAAATGAGTCATTTAAGAAATATATTAAATGGAAATTTATACCTCCGGGAGCACCGCACATGGGTGGCGCCTGGGAAAGGTTAGTAAGATCGATTAAAATTGCGTTGACCGCTACGCTCAAAGAAAGGAGCCCACGAGAGGAGGTTCTACATACGCTGCTTTTAGAAGCAGAGCATACGGTAAATTCCAGGCCTCTGGTAACGTTCAGTATGGATAGTCCTGAAGAGGGTTTGACACCCAATCATTTTCTTCTGGGACGCTCATGTGGTGATCGACCACCTGGATTATTTCTAGAGCGGCATCTGACGGGTCAACTCAATTGGAAAGCTGCACAGAGGTTAGCCGACCATTTTTGGACAAGATAGTTGAAAGAATACATGCCTACTTTAATACCTCGAACAGGTAATAACGGAAAGTTCATGGAATCTAAAGAAGGTGATATTGTTTTGATAATAGATCATTCGTTGCCACGAAATACGTGGCTGAAAGGCAAAATTAGTAGAACGCTACCGGGACCAGACGGTCACACCAGAGTGGTTGACGTCATTACTAGCACAGGTATCTTGAGGAGACCTACATCCAGAATAATAGTCCTGGTACCCGCGACGCCTCCCAAATAATGGTGCTTACGCACGGAGGGGGAGATTGTTGGCGACGCGCCTATAAGAATATTTCAGTTTATTAAGTCAACCGATGACGAATAACGTCTCAATGGCATATTGTCCAATAGCAAGGTTCTGATAAGAAAATGCTTAGTTAAATCTTAAAGAAATATCGAATTAATGATATGAAGGTCATGGGTTCGACTCCCAGACCGGACTAGTTTATTTGTTTTCCTAAGCAATATCGCTTAATAAATTCATAAGGAATTTAAGATATAAATTATGCTACCGGATTTGTTCCCCGGTTGAAATCATCTTTCCAATGATGTAAATTCAAAGAAATATTAAAGTGAAGTTAGAGATCGGATTTGTTCCCCGGTCGAGATGATCACTCTGTGCATAAATAGAATTAACGGAAATTAATTGCATAAGTATTGTTTTATATGAGTTTGATATGTTTTGTACGAAAGCAAATGCCTATTTGTTATGATTGATTTATGAAAACATTCACTTATATTGTTTGATAGGAAACGTGATAGCTGATAGGAATCTGATTAGAGATAGTTTCCTACAGTTCGAATATTGTGTAAAAGCATTTAATTTACCTAATATTGTTAAAATTAGTGTATATCAGACTTCCATTTTTTCTGATAGCCGAGAGCCGTGCAAAAGTTAGTTGTTCAAATAGTGTGAGTTCATAGACGCACGCTAAGCCACGCCCTTAGGAGGCCGAATATGTAAAAATTTAAAATATTTGTAATTTCAGCAATTTATGTAAAAATGACTTGTAAAACATTTCAGGTTGATTGTACGTGCTAAAAAGGTGAATTCTGTGTTATTTTTATGTGAAAATTCCTGTGTATAAGTGAAATAATGATAGTTTTGTATAAGAAATTTAAAAGTGTTTTAAATAGTGAAATAAATAGAGAAAATGTAAATTAAACTATTGTATTAGTTAACTTATGTATAAATTCAAGTGGGAAACATTGTTTTAACTTTCTGTGTTAAATATTTAAGAAATTTTGACTTTGCACTTGTGATTAAAATAGGCATATTGCATTTAATAAATAAAAGGTTTTCGTGATATGAAAATGTAATGTATATCGTAGTGTAGATATTGTTTTCTGCTATCTATACAGATAAATTGTATTGATGTAATTGTGCAGACTTATGGAAATAAAGAAATTAAGTAAAACGTGAGAGAGTAATAGAACAAATTCATGTAATTGTGTTGCGCAAGCGCGCGAATGGCGCGGCTCACTTTCGCGTATAGCTCTGGGGTAGCTTAGTAAATGAGTTTTATTGCAATTCGTTACCCCGAGGCCCGATACCTGTATTGCATCTCGGTGCAATCAGACGACAATCAACGGTTGCAATTCGTTCGGGAATCCTTCGAGATAGTTCGGGGAAAAAGTTCGGAAATCAGACCAGCAGTCAATAAGAAGAGTATAGGGAAGTGATAGGGAAAAGTGATTACTCTCTCTCGGAACGGTTTGAAGATAATTGCTGTTTTATTCCTAAGAAATTCATCACTTAAGTTATACAGTCCACATCGAAGAATTAAGGCGTTGGGACCGGGACGACTTCGGAAGACCCGTAATCCCCGTCTGAACCTACTTGCTGAAAAGGAAGAGGTTATCGCCCTTGTGTGTTACTCCGTTGCGGAGATCACATACGTTGTTCCCGAACCCAACGTAGGCGTTATAGGAGGCCGGATCGAGAGAAGCCTCGATTCCTCCCTTCTGTTTCTTAGTTGAATGTTTGAATAAGCTGCGTTTCCTTTTCAGGTACATTACCAATCGACTATGTCTCATATATATCTACATCTATTCTCGATTAAGAATCAAAAAAGCAAATGCGTTGTCACCCCGGAAGACCAAGATGGAATGCCTCTTCTCCAATGAAAAGTGTTTCCGGTTCTCTACACTCATCATACGGAATATAGTAGCATTATGATTGTATTTTACCCTAGTATTTCGAGTGTGGACTTTCCCCAGTCGTGCCAAACTATTCGTGGACAGCCATAATGCTGCAGTGTTGGTCTAACACTCACGTTCACAAATAATTAAGTTGAAACGTACGAGGTAAGGCATCCCACTCATCGCGCGGTCCTGCAACTCTCTCGTAGTCCACAGCGCGAGATCAGCCAGCCTCCTAACGTGTTCTCTCTCCTTGGTCGCTTTTTCACATTTAATCCTTTCAGTTTCCATCTCTGTAAAATTCCTAATCGGTGCCTCCAATGCCGATTGCCACATTGTGTTAGAATTCAGCTCTGCAGGGTTCTGGTTTAAGCCTTCCATCGCAGATGCACTTGAATTTAGGATTTGCAGCCAATCAGGGTCTATATTTAAGCCGGGTACCCAGCTTGAATTCGAAGGAAGTGAAGGTGACGTGTCGTTCCATCTCTGTCCAGGCACGACGGTCTGATTGATATTCTTGTTAAACTGCGAATAAAAGTTAGCTAGCTGTATCAATCTAGACTTCAGTTGTTATCAGACTAGCGACCCGCCCCGGCCTCGCTTGGATAGGATCTAATAATATAGCGTTTATTATATTTGAGATAATCGAAAATAGTGTTCTTTTAAATTTTTAGGATAAATTCTAGTAAAGTGAAGTAAAAAGTAAAGTTACAGCCTATAATATACGTCCCACTACTGGGCACCTCTCATTTCTGAGAGGGTTTTAGGACAAGGAATAGTCCGCCGCGCTGCCCAAATGCGTGTTGGCGAACTTTAAAAGTCTTCGAAATATTTTTTTTTCTTATTTCTCAGACATGCAGGTTTCCTCACGATGTTTTCCTTCACCGCTAAACAAGTGGTAAATCAGCACTTAACCCCTCAGGCCCCTTAAAATTCTCATGCAGTCGCATGCGCCCGGCAAAACCCGAGCGGTCGAATGCGACGGCACCCATCCGCAGTACTTAAAATCATTACAACGTATATTTGGAGACTACTTTTCTATGAAGAAGTTTGGCATTATAAAATTTATACAAAATTTTCTAATTATACGAATTATACCGAAACTTTAATGAAAAAAAAAATAATAGCTCTAGCTATTCGTGAAGTTACATTACGATCAGTTCAGCCATTTCGAAGATTAGGCTGCACAGACAGTCAGACACGTGGTATTTTTTTTATACTTTGTAGAGCCATGCTGCAGTTATATTAGTAGTATAGTTGTAGCACGAATGGGTCGGCTCGACCGGGGAAGAACCACGCTCTCACAGAATACCAGCGTAAAATAGCATCTTAAAACTGCAGAGTTTTTGATTTTCTATGGACTTGCTGCGTTCGGAATTCCGGTAAATTCCGGTAATCGGAATCGGAATGCTACGAGGGTGGATTGAAAAGTACTCGGCCTAACCAAGAAAATAAACACATACTAAATCAGTTATATTTTTATTTTTCTACATAATCACCATCAAGTTCAATACACTTTTGCCACCTCCCCTTCCAAGCATTTAGACCGTTGAAAAAAAATTATTCTTCCTTAGAGTCAAAATATGCGTCTACAGCTGCTTTGACCTCGTCGTTTGTCGAAAATCTTTGACCTCCCAAGTGCTTTTTTAGGTTAGGGAACAGAAAGAAGTCTGATGGTGCCAGATCAGGTGAATACGGCGGATGCGGTAACAGTTCAAAGCCACAGTTGTGAATTTCAGCCATTGACTGTACTGACGTGTGAACACGGGCGTTATCTTGATGAAACAGGACTTTTCTTCTGAGCATTCCTCGACGTTTTTCTTTTATTTCCTCTTGTAAATGACGTAGTAAGGTGCAGTAGTAATCAGAGTTTATAGTCTGACCCCTTTCAAGATAATCAATCATAATCACACCTTTCGAGTCCCAGAATACTGAAGCCATCACCTTATTTGCCGACAAAATCAACTTAGCCTTTTTAGGGGGTGGTGAACCAGGTCTTCTCCACTGTTTTGATTGTTGTTTTGTTTCCGGTGTACAGTAATGAACCCATGTTTCGTCCATAGTAACAAAACGATTCAAAAAATCATCTGCATCGGCTTCAAATAACTCCAAACAGTCGCGTGAAATAGTCAATCGCGTCCTTTTTTGTTCAACTGAAAGCAGTCGCGGAACCCACCTCGCAGACACCTTGTGGAAATCCAACTCGTTGACAACGATGTTTTGAGTTCGTTCATAAGAGATGCCTATAATCTCGGCTACCTCTCTAATTTTTAATCTGTGGTCTCCCATTATTAAATCAAGTACTTTTTTAATATTTTCGTCAGTAGTTGACGTCGAAGGCCTTCCAGAGCGGGGTTCATCTTTCACACTCTCTCTACCACGCTTAAATTCTGCTATCCATTTTTTGACGGATGAATATGACAGAACACAATTGTCTAATGTACTGACCATGTCATCATGGATGGCTTTTGATGATAGCCCCTTCTTATGGAGGTACTTAATGACGGCACGCTGCTCGATTTGCTCCATTCGCGGAAATTATGTCCGATTACTTTGTTAATAAATTTATAAAATCACAACTAATTATCGCACACGTTTCGAACTTCACACAATGAACTAGTCTGGACTGAACTAAATGATTTGGGTAGATTTGATTTTTAGAATTGAATGGATCTGTGTTAGGCCGAGTACTTTTCAATCCACCTAGGTATATGTATGTGGCCGATCTAAGTGGAGTCAATATAGTCCGACGCGCTGCCCCAATGCGTGTTGGCGAATTTCACATGCCTTCGAAATATTTTTTTCTTATTTCTCAGACATGCAGGTTTCCTCACGGTGTTTTCCTTCACGTGCACTTGGTAAATCAGCACTAAAAACTACAATTAACAATTTTATTGGTGCCGGCTCGGATCGAACCCGGGTTGCTCGCGTTCTGTGAGATTTACAGCGAGCGTTAACCATCTGAGCCACCACTGCTAATAATGTGATAGATGCATCATTTTTTTTTGTTATTAATGATTAGTTTAGTATTTATTATAAAATTAAATGTATTAAACGAGAACATAGTCCACCTGATGGTAAGTACATTTTGTAGTCCTAATTCATTCATTTAGTAATAATCATCATCATTATCATTACAGCCCATTAAAACTGCACTGCTGAAAATAAGACCCTCCCCCCTGCCCTTACATAGTCACATAAAGGATATATTTGCTATAGTTGCCACATTTCAGGCAGGTTTTATTTTTTAATGTTATTAGGAAGACGCTGATACCCATCTCCTAAAAAATAGTTCCTTCGCCCCTTCTTACGAGACCCCCATGAGACTATATAGGTTAGTGGATATCCTTTCACAGCAACTACACAGTTATGGTTACTACATTCATTCTTTAAAGCCTTTGAAAGCTTTACTAATGAACATTTGGCCTCGCCATACTTTGGTTCATGGGGGAGGGCGTAGGGGGGGGGGGGCTAGTTGCACAGGAAGCGGGTTAGCATCTACAGTTTATTATCATTTTAAGTTCTTATTAGGAAGATGCTCGTACCTGTCTAAGTTACGATATCCACCACTGCCTCGTTGGTCTAGTGGTCGTAGTGGTGCGACTGCTGATCATGAGGTCCTGGGTTCGAATGCCGGGTCGAGCCAAAAAATCAATTATTGCGTTTTTCCGTCAAGAAATTCCCAGTAGCTGCCCGGAGTCAGAAAGTTGACGGTGTCTTACCCCCCTGCCCCGGTAAAGCACGTAAGACCGTTGGTCCTGCGCCTGATCTCTCTCCGGTCGTGTCGGAATACCGTCCCATCGGACTATGAGAGTGAGGCAATAGAGAGTGCACCTGTGCTTGCGCATAACTCAGGCAATATTATCCTGTCCTGCACTGATGGCTAGTCTCCGTTGAGGCAAGCCGCCGTGGCCCAAATTCGGTCTGAACGACATTATTATTATTTTATTTACATGATAAACATCAATAACTATGTGTAAAATTTTTGTGTGTCCAGATAAAAAGCAATACATCAGACAGAAAGCAATCCCAAGTGTGATCTAAGCTATATATTATCGGAAACACTTGGAGAATATTTTTTGTAAAATGTAAAAATTGTTAAAATAAATGATCATTGATGATTATTTTAAGAAATCTAAATGACGTTAATATATACCACATATTAACGCTCGCTGTGAATATAACAGAACGCGAGTAACCCGGGTTCGATCCCCGCCGGCACCAATGAAATTGTTAATTGCAATTTTAAGTGCTGATTTACCACGTGCTCGGCGGTGAAGGAAAACATCGTGAGGAAACCTGCATGTCTGAGGAATAAGAAAAAAAAATATTTCGAAGACATGTGAAGTTCGTCAACACGCATTTGGGCAGCGCGGCGGACACTTCCTTGCCCTAAACCCTCTCAGAAATGAGGGGAGGCCTGAGCCCAGCAGTGGGACGTATATAGGCTGTAACTTTACTTTACTTTACTTTTTTATACCACATAGACGAAACCAGGGCGGGTCGGGTTGAAAATTGAAATACATACCGATGTGAAATCGATCCTACTACAATTCTCAATCGTCTGCTTAAAGTTCTCCATCGCCAACTTCAAACCTTCCAAGTACTTAGTGCCTTTGCGAATGATCCCATCCACCTACAAAATTATTACAGTATAAACGTTCTTGTCATGTGCTGAAGGTCCATGGGTGTGTTGAGAGACGACTATGAGTATCCCATAGACCAGCCTCAGCCGCTACGGCTCCCACGGGTGCCTGCAATTTGCTACGCAAGGGCGAAGGGGCTCCACTTCCGCAGTGTACTGTTACAGAAGTAATTTTAGGTCAATATTCTTGTGTAAAAACCGACGTTATGATTTACAAAAAAAAAATACGTGTGGCACTCGGTGACTGCCGCGGTAAAGCTATTGCATAGCATTTTTTATCAACTTATGCAATTATAATTATTTATTTATTTTATTTATGCAGTTAAGTTTTTGATATTAAATCAAGTTACACTTTTTGAGCGTGGTGAACGATAAGAAAACAATTTTTTTTCTCTTATTGAATAAATGAGAAGTTAATATTGTTTAAAATATTTTTAATATCTTACAATACATGTAGGTTATTCAGGAATTTTTATCATTGAGTTAGCAGCTAGTGTACACGCACACAAACACCCCGAGGTGCCGAAGTCTGCCGAGTGCCGAAGTCTGCCGAACTGAAACGACGTTAGACGATGCACGGCTTTCAACGCCACACCTCCGTGCCCGTCGGAGTGGGGAGCGTGAGGTTTTTTTCGTTACGGAATTTCTGGATTCGGTCCCCGCGCTCAAGGCCCGCGATAGAAGCTATGCAATAGCTTAAAAAACATTTCCGCAAGGGGGAAGGGTAGGAGGGCTTCTCCTGCACTTAACCCCTCCCTCACGCCCATACGCAAGTAGCAGATGTCTATAGTTTCACCGCCTCTAGATAAGCCAAAGAGATTTTATGACTTCCTATAATGCTATCATCTTTTATATTAAATTTTGGATGACTAACGAGCACACAATTCATCTGAGGTCCGAGGGGATGCTGTGCATAGATGTTGTATCTATTTATACTAAATCTATGATGTTGTGGCCCACAGAAATCGTATTAATAATACAATAAAAGTGGCAAGTGAACGCGTGACCTTTTCGCCGCTATGCTGTGTTGACGAACATCATTCGTCATTTTGTGATTTAGTTGCGCGGGGAACGTCGTACGTGAATTTACGTTATTATAATGGTGAACCGCAGCATAGTCAGTGGTAAAAACTCATCAAGTACGTGTAATTCAACTAATGAAGGCATACCATTTCATCGGTAAGATGATTATTTACTAATTATCATTGTTTTAACTAATTTACATCTAGATGAATACTTTACTATGATATTTACCTTTGTAAACTTTCATTTATTACTTTTCGTATCGTAAGATTGCTGACCATTGCTTCTTTTGTACTACCGTAATACGTGACGCACGCAACGTTGACAAACTCGCCAAGCAATGTAATGTGAAACAATAGATATCATTGTGCATTGCGTATGTTTATAATACGGCTGCAGGCATCGGTCGGTTAATGCGTATGTGTTATAATGTGGCGACATCGGTTTTGGAAGTTATCGAGCGCTAATTCATTTCTATTGTCTTATTATTACTATTTCTGTGTTGTGGCCCATAGGCAACTTTGAGTATGCCTCGATTTCGTATTAAAATGCAGTTGTGTTGTCTCCTCTAAGGACTATGAGTTCCTCAATTTCAGTAAAAAAGGTCTCGGGTTCTTTGTGCTCGCCTTACAAAACACAATAGTTTGTAGTTGTACTGCTATTACATGCTGGTATTCTGCGCTAGCGTGGCCATTCCCCGTGGAGTCAATCTATTCATTCTGCAGCTATAGCTGCGTTAAAAGACGTAATACGTGGTAGAGTCACACCGCAGGTAAGTTGTAGTATGAATGGGTCTGCTCAACCGGGAAAGAACCACGCTCTCGCAGAATACACACAACACAGCAATTTAATACTGCTGTGTTTCCTATGGTGAGCGTAAAGATCCGGAAACCCTTTTTTACTAGAAATAACGCATTCCATCTTAGTCCTCAGGGGTTTAGATTATTTCACATGTCTATTAGCCACTAACCATCAGGTGGACTATGTGCTCATTTGTTACCCTTATTCTATTAAAAAAAATATGTACGCCGTGCCTAGTTAAAAATACTACTGTCCCTGTAACTCTCTCCGGAGCTTATAGTTCATAAGAAATCTAAACAGACCAGCGTATTTATATTATTCATGATCTCAATACGAGTGACACTCACATTCTTAAAAAAAATAATGAGGTCTAATAATTTTACACTCACCAGATGTCGCTAGTTTGGAACGAGATGAACTTTTTTGTTACACAATGTCACTTACTCGAGAAATTGCGTGTTAAATAAAAAATTTTATTTTTTTTAATTTCACTCCATTTCTATGTGACGTCGCCCTGGTGCTATAAAAAGTGGGTAAGGTTTGAAATTAAGTCGTCTGAATTAGGGGATGGGGGGTGGTGGGGAGGGAAACGGAGGAATTATGGAGTCGCCGCCCACTTCCCACTCCTGCCGGACGTGCTTAGCTTTTTTTATAATTTTGAAAAATCTCATTTTGAGGTTATGTTTTCGTAATCTTTTTCACTATAAACCTGCTTTAAAGCGGGAGAGAGTTGGATGAAGGAAGCCCCACGTCACTCAACGTAGCCCAGTCGAGGGAAGCCAGATAGACTACTTCTGAGTGGTTTATAAAAAACAAACACGAAGGTGACGACGGGCTCTATTCGCTCGCTTCGCTTGCACACTCGACCCTGCCGTACCCTTCTGACCTAACCTGTCAGAGTCGGGGTGCCCCAAGTCGGGAGCTCGCTTCGCTCGCTCTTACACTCAATAAAACACCAAAGTATTATCTTTTATAATTACTTTAAATTATAAACATAATTTATAGCTACAACCATTTGGAAAAAAGGATCGAAAAGGGTAGCGAAGTCGTCAAAATACAGGTGGAGGCAGATAAAAACGTTAGGTACACATTCACGTAAACTCGGAAACAACGGAATGACGTATAGTATATCTGTCACTGTCAACAAAATGGCCGATCTGGCGTTTCATTTTACGTATTTTGAGATGAATTTGACAGGTGCAACGTCAAAAACGTTAGAGTTTAGTTAAATGTACGTTCCATTTCACGTTTAGTTAGTTATTTACCAACATTAAAAAAACATTAAAAACACTGTTCCGGCAGCAAAAATCAAGGGGTGCTTCAAGTAGACCCCCTTTGCCCCCCCCCCCAGTGACAGAATCTTCAAATTCAGGCGACTTAATTTCAAACCCAATCAAAAAAAATTATTTTAAAAAAACCAAACAACACAAGCATACCTTCCCTTCCATATATGTCTCATATCCATAATCCTCGGCGTATTGTCTATCGTGCTGCCCTTTCATACCATCGTAGTCTTCATAATTATCGCCATAATATTCATTCAAATGGTGATGATGGTCGTCGTGTTGCTTTTGATGATCAAAATATCTTCTCACTTCTTCCAAATCGGTCGTCCATGAAGCAACCTCCGTAAACACAAATGTAATGCACAGACAATATCCGAACACACTGACAGCTGTCATATTTCCCGCGTTTTTTTAAACTTGAATAAATATTTTTATTAAATTATTAAGTGGACAATTATCTAATATTATTATAAATTAATATTTAAATGAGAAGGTTCAGTATACAACACGTATGCTTTTTGTAAGTTCTATCATTTCTCGGAAACAAGTGAACAGATTTAAACGATTATTTTTTATAAAAATGCTTATACTTCAAGGCACGGATGTTAAAAATACTTCATGGTCCCGTAAAAAAAATCCATCCCTAAGAATGGAAAAATAAGGGATAAGAGAGAATTTAACTACATAATATATAGGCAACATTCTAGTAGTTGCCTTTTGAAGTATACGAATGTACTTTTTATTAAAAAAATAATTATAATTTTTCTTATGCATTTTATTATATTAAAGTCGGAATAAATAAATGTAATATAATTTGAGAGAATCCTAATGCCTCCTACTACTGGGTCCACGCATTTCTGAAGTTCTGCGGACCTTTCTGTGGATCACTGCGTCAATCCAATGCAATGCAAAAAAATCTAAAAAAAATATTAATGGCGGGTCAAATTAAACGAAGTTTGTGCTTGTATTTTTGCGAAGTTTACCGACTTCGCGAGTAATAGTAATTTAAAATTTAAAAGTAAGTCTACTTAATATTTTTTTGAGTTATGGGTGCACGGTGCAGTCGCAAATAACTCAAAATGGCTGAATAATATACATATTGCCACCGTAAGTCTTATCGAGACATGCAGCTTTCATGATGTCAGTTAACACTTTTTAAGAAATATGTAAATTATTTTGTATATTGGATCACCAGCTTTCTTGCAGTTCGGAGCATCAAGATCGTTGTAGACGGTGCAAGCTCCGATTACAAGCCTATTAATGCAGGCGTTCCGCAGGGCTGCGTGCTATCGCCAACGTTGTTTCTTCTGTATATCAATTGTGCAATTGAATATAAAAGTGCAGTTTCGTGGTCACTTGGAAGAGAAGGCCAAAGTGGCCTCTAAAAAGCTTGGCGTGCTCAGCTTTTTGGGACAGTATTTCATGCCGGCACACCTCGGTTCGGCCGCACATGGAATACTGTTCCCATCTCTGGGCTGAGGCTCCCCAGTACCAGCTCCTTCCACTTGACCGCATCCAGCGCAGAGCGGCTCGAATCGTCGACGACCGAGTGCTTTCCGATCTGCTCGATTCACTGGCACTGCGAAGAGATGTTGCATCTTTTTGCATTTTCTTTCGCATATACCATGGGGAGTGTTCGGATTAATCCTAGCCGCCAAATTTCATGAACGCACTACGCGGCAAACGTCCCGATACCATCCACACCATCTGGATGCTTGGCGGTCCACCACTGTACGTTTCACAAGGAGTTTTCTTCCGCGTTCAATCTCTCTGTGGAATAGTTTACCACCGGTGATTTTTCCGGACCGATACGACCTGCGGACCTTCAAGAAAAGAGCTTACTCCTTTCTAAAGGGCCGGCAACGCACCTGCAATTCCCCTGGTGTTGTGGTTGATCATGGGCGGCGGTAGTCACTTAACATCAGGTAAGCCGCATGCTCGTTTGCCCCCTCTACTATAAAAAAAATTCCTTATATGTCATGAAAAATATAGCTTTTTTACTCTATCATATGCTGCAAACAATAACGATTTAAAAAAAGACGCGAATGTAACTTGTCTCCAAATGATTAAATTACTACACACAACAACTTAACACTGATAATATGTAGATAAACACCACTAAAGTTCAGCTATTTATTGAAATAATTACACAAAACATTATGTACATAAATTTTTCCAATACACCGGCGCACAAGTTAGAAACGCGGCGTTTAACTGAATATAAATTAATGAACAAACGGATATCCAATAGTTTTTGCTGTAATAACCCGCTTCCCGCGTTCATTGTTAGAGGATGCGTTTCGCAACGTTTCCCTTGAAGAGCTGACGCTTAGGAGCGTGCAATGTTAATTTACTCATAAGGCATTTCGAAATGTGCCGGCATAACAGCATCCATCACTTACAAAAGCATTCTGTGGTTACGCTCTATAAATGTCCGCCTGCAGGACGCACCTCTCGCCCATTAAGCGAAGCAAAAAATGGAATGTAGAGTCGACCACGCTGGTCTTATATGTTTAAATGGCTAATTTCTTAAACGACTTCAAAAGGTAGGAGGTATACAATTCGATTGTATGTGTTTAGTGTGTTGCCTCAGAACTTTTTTCTGGGTAAATCGAATTTGATGGTTCTTTTTTATCTGTAAGCTGGTGCTTGTTGTGTGGTTCCATATAAATTAGATCAAGTTCTGACCAGTAGTTTTTGAGTTATCTTCAGTAATGCGTATTTAATTGACTTCGAATACATTGATGATGTTCTCATTTTATTTATATTGAAGTCGGTTGTACAAAACTTTTAATTTTACCACTTGTAATTGTAAACTTAATATTTATCACGCTGTTTCTCGTAGTTTCTTTCCAAGGCAAAGGAATTTTCCGATCTAGTTGTAAATCAAAAATTACTTATATTTTTTTTACAAAATAAAGATGGCAAACGAGCACACAGTCCACCTTATGGTAAGAAGATGCTGTGGCCCATAGACATCTACGAGTACATCTATACTGCGGTCCGAGCGGTGGCCGATGTAAATTTTGACGCACTGATCGTGGAAGTACAAAGACGACCCGTACTTTGGGATAAAGGTATTAAATAATAATTAATAAAGGACATGCAGATAGAGGTTTAAAATGAAAGATGTGAGACCAGGTCTATGAGAAGATTATATAAAACTGGAGTGCGTTGTCAATTGGAGAAAAACAAAAAAATTGTAAGATTTATTTTATTTCTAATAAGTACATAACCTTTTAGGTACAGAAAACAGAGTTTATTACAGTAGAACTACGTAGTACTATTATTTATTCTGTGGTAGAACTTAGAATAACCGACAACACTTAATTTTTTAATAAATCCCCAAAATTAAAATACTGTATCGATATTTGTTTAAATATACAGTTTTAATATATTTAAACAAATAATATTAATTACAAATAATATATATATATTGGGGATTAAAAAATAATATATATTTTGGGGATCTAAATTTTAGAAAACAAATTTATAGTTTTATTTACATTTTTTTAAATACTTTAATATGACATGGTTATAAAAGGACGGTAAAAAAATGAAATCTTCTCATATTTGTTACGCCAAACAGTAATATTTTATCATATTGCCATGGGACAGAACCTCTATTTGAAGTAAAATAATTCGCAAAATAATCCGTATTCTGACGGCTGTTTGTGGTTGACCTGACGGTGTTTCGATGGAAGCTAATTATCTCAGTCCCATGCAATTCATCTCTAGGTCTGACTCCAGCGTGTTTTCGTACGTAATTGAAGCACGGTGCAAAATTCTCCATTTATTGGTGAGTAAGGTGATTAAGGTGTACTCTACCAATCCTCGCGCTCGTGTAAGCCTATAGTTAAAGACTCTTTGAGTTATTGTGAGATCCCGTCTTGGATATGGTCTCATAACATGTTCCGACTGCGCGAACGCCTCATCTCCAACAAAAACTAGTGACATCACTTTTCCATCTTCATGATTATTGCCTCTAGAAGGTTAAACTGATTCCTTTCGAGTTTTTCCCGAAATTACAATTCTTGAAAATCTTTAAGTCACTATTCCCACCATAAGCTTCATCCACTGATATAAAAGAATAATCTGCATCGGCTACCGCCATCAATACTATTGAGTGGAACACCTAATGTGCTTCCCGTCAACGCTACCTAAGCAGTTAGGAAAATTTGTGGCGCATATATATATATATATATATATATATATATATATATATATATTGCAATAGTATTCCAATTATCTTCATCAGGTACTTGCATGTATATTGGTTGTAAACACTCTTCAATTTTTCTCTTACAATAGAGGGCCGTATATTCACTTTCAAGCCTTTTTGTTTTTAGTTTCTCAACGATTGGAAAGAGAAACCACCTCAAACATATCGGTGGATGATTCTGAAGAAGACATTAATAATAGTGTCGAATACGAAAATGGGTAGCGAGCCCGCGAAACATCTCAGGCTCGTGAAACGGACGGAAGTGAAGAACGTTTAGACATCATACGACAAAAAGAAACCTATGATGAAGATGATTTCACGGAAATGATATTACACCTACTAAAAAAATTAAACGACGACCAAAAGCACTTCGTAAAAGTCAAAATTTATAAGTACGCCGAACATTGCCAAACGTTACCGTCCACCGGAGTTCTAAAGACCGCAAACCTAGTATCGTTTAGCTTCGGAACCTAATCGTTACGACAGGATCCCATACACTCAAGACTCATGCCGAAGAATGTCATCTGTCATGTCTAATTATACTCTTTCACTACCATCAACATCGGAGTCACCGGCTCCGACTTATGTTATGACCCCAACTCCTATCCCCAATCCAGCCTCCTCCACATCAAACTGAAGCTTCAACTTCAGGGAATCAAGTAATAGGTACAAGTATAGTGTCTAAAATTAATCAAGGGTACTTTTGTAATGATCCCAATAATTATGCAACGCTACTATACGATGGCAAAGATATGTAAATGGATAATACACAACGGAATCCAGCCAACATACGAGTATCTGAACATGCTGACGCCGACATAACATATTCCGTTGATACCGCATCTCCAGTCGTAGGACGAGGGAATGGCATGCAAATGAATTTTTTTTAATCTTCAAGCGTAACTAATCTCCATTTGCTAAGTAAATTATTTTTATATTGTCATAAGTGAGAAGTGATGATATTCCTATAACTGTATTTTTTTATAGGGTGTCACCCTACACACACACAGTCTACGTGATGGTAAGTGGTTGCCGTAGCCCATAGAGATCTACATCTATCCTCGATACGAATCAAAATGCAGATGCGTTATCACCCGTGAGGACTAAGATGGAATGCCTCGTTTCCAGTAAAAAGAGTCACCGGTTCTCTACACTCACCATACGAAACACAGCCGCATGAAGCTACTATTTTACGCTGGTATTCTGTGAGAGCCTGGTCCTACTCCAGTCGAGCCGACCCATTTGCCCCCCAGCAAATGAAAAAGGGATTTATTTATTTTGATTTGGATATGAATACATTACCAGCAATGTAGTTAACAGCGAGATTAGTAGATTCAGTATGCAACAAGGTAAAGTATGTAAGTACGGTAAATGTATGTACTTACCTACCTCAACGTAACTGAAAGCCCTTCTTCCACTTACTCCAACTCGTATCCTTGTGCTAGATTTCGTTACCAACAACACTTTTTAAATTGTCAAAGGTCTTTCATTCTGTAGTAAACAAAAAACCTTTTTGGGAACTTTTGCAAGTCATTATATCTCATATAGGAAAAACCCTTCATAGGTCTCGTTGGATGAACCAAATACTTACTTCGTCTCACTTCTTGCTTATATCACTTACTCATATGTTTTTAATATGTCTTATACAACCTTATACCAGAAGAAGCTGTCTATATAACCTATTAAATGTTAAATCCGTATTATGTTAAATGCATAAAAAATTGCTTTGAATTTTTGCACGCCCATCGGCGTCCCGCTTTCAAAGCTAATTTTCTGTCGAACAACAATAAAGCCTTTATTTTTTTAATGCTACATTTTACAATAATCTAGCTGTACTATGAATGGCCTCTGAATGTCTGCGATGTAAAAAAATGCGATTCTAATGTTACATGCCGATGACGCCCATCGGCGTCTTAAATAAATAATCAGAGTTTATCAACCTTTTCATGTTATGTGAACGAAAGTCACTGTCAGTTAACAACTTAGAAAAATATAAATAGGCGTTTTTATACAGGTTGGTACTGAAGTCGTTTGTAGCACATAGTTGGCAGTGATATAATCACGTGAATTGAAATTTATTTGATTATTTTCTTGGTTTGGATTGTAGCCAATTTGTTACCGAATTCTTACTCAACGGTTTGGTTACTTATTGACCATGAAAAAGCGAAAAAACGGAAGTGGTATCCGTTAAGTTTTTCCAGAATTGACGCTAGGTTTGAAAATATATATTTGTAAAATGGTTGATGTTTTTGACTTAAAAAAAAGCCATAATAGTATTTGTTATCTGGTATATTTCTATTAAATGATGCCGAAGCCGCGGATGGGCGCCTTAGAACGCTTTAGGCTTTAGCGTCCGCCTTAGACGCCGTTGGGCGACCGCCTTCAAATGTATGACGGCATGGGAGTAATGTGTTTCTATTCTCAGGAAGCAACGAATGGGTTAAGAAGCAATCGAGTATTACAAATGGAGGTCAAATAAAACACTGAAATTTTTTAGTACATTATAATTTATTACGATATCTTAAATAGCTTCCACAAACATAGTAAGTCTAAGTCAGTGATAAGATACAAGTGATAAATGAAATAAAATTAAAGTAACATACATTCTTAACGCAACTGTAGTGCAACCGCGCAACAACTGTTGCGCAACTGTTCCACAACAGTTGAGCGATAGTTGCGCAACAATCGGACGACAGTTGATCTGCAACTCACCATTTAGAAAGAAAAACTAGCAAATCCCTATCTTTTAAACAATACCATCAGAGGAGAGCGAAAAAGAAAGACAGACTTCTAACTATAAATGCAATTAATATATAATTTTACATTGCCAGTACTATTACCAAGTCCACCAACGGGAGCTAAATATGTTAGAAATTAGAAAATACAACTTGTTAAGAAATTATTTTATAATATATATAAGGAAAACACTCCCCCACTCTCCCCTAACCGATAAACAGGGAAATAAAGCTGAAGTTTCAGGAAATACTGCGAAGCGAGTGTTGAGAAGTCTCTTATCCCATTCTTGGACGTCCCATACCGCGGCCAGGCATCTGTGGTGGCGCTTCGCCCTTCACGTTCTTGATCGTCTCGTCTATTGACAGGATCTGGGAAATAAACATGGCACCTCAATTAGTCTAGCAATAGACAATAGACTAGATTATTCTATTCTCAACAAAAATATATTATCAACTTTTTCTGATGGTAAGTGAATGCTGTGGCCCGTAGATATCTACATCTGTCTTTGATTAAGAATCCAAGCGCAGATGCGTTGTCAACCCTGAGTACTAAAATAGAATACCTCATTACGAGGAAAAAGGTTCTCCCGTTCTCTACACTCACCGTATGAAACAATAGCATAAATCAGCTATTTCACGCTGGTATCAGCTAATCTCTTCTTCCTCTGAAATTATTAACGGCCTATCAAAATTTACGTAATCAAAAACCATTTAAATCCACAGCTGGATGTGGGCCTTAGCAGTTCCCTCCATGTATGTAGTGGTCATAAGCCTGATCATAAGATCATGAGATTCCAGAGTTCAATCCCGGGTTGGGCCAAAAACTAGTTTTAGGGTCAGTCAAGGAATTCTCATAAGCAGCCCGGAGCTAGGAAGGTGTCAAGTTGTCAGTGCTTCACCCCCGTGCCTCAGACAGCACATAAAGCCGATGCTCTTGACGCCTCATATCTCTCTCCGGTCTTGTCGAATTACTGTTCCATCGTACTATGACAGCGAGGCAGTGGAGAGTGCACCTGTGCTTGCGCATAGACTTGTGCACTATAATCCTGTCCTGTGCCGATGACTATTCTCCGTTGAGACTGACCACCAAGATCGAAGTTTGTCCCGGAGGACACTGTTATTATTATATCGACAAGCAGTTCACCTGTGCTGCAGCTTCACAAGCGGCCGTGATGGCGTTGACCTTGACTACTGCAGGCTCCCACACGCAGTTCACGAAGTTGTCCGCGATGTCCTCCTTCTGTATGTCTATGCCGTACCAAACGTCGCCTGGACACAGAGAAACAAAACTGAATAATAATTAATAACCGCTAGGTATGACGTGATTCACCACCATACTGGTTCTAAATAATTCACACTCAATAGGAAAAAAATATGTGAGCCGCCGCGGGACAGCTGGCAGATGTGAAACATCGAATTTTTTTGTAAAGGTAAAGTAAAGTAAAGTTACAGCCTATGTACGTCCCACTGCTGGGCACAGGCCTCCCCTCATTTCTGAGAGGGTTTTAGAGCAAGGAAGTGTCCGCCGCGCTGCTCCAATGCGTGTTGGCTAACTTCACATGTCTTCGAGAAATATTTTTTTCTTATTCCTCAGAAAAGCAGGTATCCTCACGATGTTTTCCTTCACCGCCGAGGACGTGGTAAATCAGCACTTAAAATTGCAATTGACTATTTCATTGGTGCCGGCGGGGATCGAACCCGGGTAACTCGCGTTCTTGTACAGGTAATATGCATAAAAGGATTTTTTTTTAAATAAAATAAGGGTGACAAACGAGCACACAGTCCACCTGATGGTAAGTGGTTGCTGTGGCCCATAGACATCTACATCTATCCTCGATTATGAATCAAAATGCAGATGCGTTGTCACCCGTGAGGACTAAGATGGAATATCTCTTTTCTATTAAAAATGGTCTCCCATTCTCTACACTCACCATACGAAACACAGCAGCGTTAAGTGTGGTGCTTAACTAGTCAAGCCGACCTTTACGTGCTACATATTATCTAACACGTAATATAGTACGTTAGATTATGACAGGAAATAAATACGACATAATGAAAAATTAAATATATTAAGAATTTTGCAACAAAAGGATGACAGTTTATTTAATAAACCAAATAATTTTTGTATTTAATGAATATTTTACTTTTTTTAAACTTCAACATTATTTTTAAATTGAGACAAACTCAATTCTTTTAATCAGTGACAGTTCTGTAATAGTTGTATTCGATGTGACCTCTGACGGTATTACTGTGACAATTGGTCGATGAGAACTGAAATATGTTACAAAATTGTTGGACATAAAATGTTATGTATTGATAATGATTAAGGTAGTGTGGCGATTAATACCGCGCCAACAGTCAGCTTGAGCCGCCGCTATAGATGGTTTTACATAAAAATATTATACAGTAAATTAATGTTTAAAAATAAGTCCCGCTGAGTTTCTTGCTGATTTTCCCAGAACAGAGGTTTTTTTCCTGAATCAGTGGTAAAATTTTATATAAGTTAATGAGTAACTATTCTTGTAATATCTATTGCGTAAACATATTCTATTATTAAGACAGTCTACACGCAAAATTGACCCTGTAGTGGTGTAAAATATCCCTTACACCACATTTCAGTTAGTAAATAGAATCCGGTGTTACTTTGCAGAAATCCATTATACAGGTTTATTTTTCAAAGAGTAGCCAAATTTTAAACTTAAATTCAAATACGTAAACAATGACATACCGTTATTGGAGTTTTTGAAAGTATGAGTAAATAAGGCTTCCGCTTTTATTTGAAATTATCGCAAATTGAATGTGATTTATGGACATTTTTGCTTACCAATCGACCTTCAATGTCAATCAGTTAAAATAATGCACTTCCACACATTTTGAATTTAAAAGATAAAAAGGATAGAATGTTTGAGATCTTTATATTACTTTTCTGAGCCTTCTCTGCAAATTTGGTCGGTTATTGCAAAATACTTATACGTATATAGTGACGAGGATAATGCTCGCGATTGAGGGAGGATGGGTAATGCTGTTCAAACTAGGTTAAGCTATTTAATTTATAATTTTAACAAAATTTTATATTCTAGTTACTCAACTCCACAGTCAGTAATTCATTCTTGGGGCGATGTATACGTTTTTACAACAAAATCCCAGAAAATATACAATACTTGTCCTCTTCCAATTTCAAAAACTTTATGAAACAAAGATTGTATAAAAAGAGTTCATATAATACTAATGAATCTATAGATAATAGCTCCTGGGAATGAAGTGATCACCACCAAGCTATTTTTCATTTGTTTTGTATTTTTCTTTTCAACTAATAAAACAATTTATTCTCACCGGCATGATGCCGTTGCCTTAACTTGTTCAGCAGACTGGTGGCATCAAGACCAGCATTATCAGCTAGCTGGCGAGGAATCGCCTCGAAGGCACGAGCTGCAGCCGCTAAGAGCAACTGCTCTTTGCCCGCAATACCCTTTGAGAACTCGCGCAGGTGCTTCGATATCTCCATGTCTATTGCACCGCCACCTGGGAAATAGAACAATTATTTATAAAACCTATGAAACCACATCTTGAGTACCTATCAAGAGTTAAAAAATTGGTTGGTCTAGGCTATAATCAATTGATAATTTAATCTTTTATTTGAAGTTGTTTATAATTAAAACCGTTATTTAAAAAAAGAATATTAGTTTTTTTTTTTAATAATGATGGCCAATGAGCAAATCATCTACCTGATGGTAAGTGAATGCTGATGAATGGTGACATCTTGCTTTATCCTCGATTAAGAATCAAAATGGAGATGTGTTGCTGGGGATTAAGATGAAATGCCTCATTTCCAGTAAAAAGGATTTTCTGGATGGAAAGGATTTTTCTACACTCACTATACGAAACACAGCAGCATTCTTACTTACTATCACATGCTGGTATCCTATGAGAGCACTGTCCGTCCCCGGTCGAAGCGACCTATTCATGCTACAACCATAATATAGCTACAGCATGGCTGGCTTTACCACATATGATGTGCAATAAATTTTTTGAATAATATAAATATACACATTTATGGTGGGTAGTTGAAACTTACCAGCAACAACTGCATCATTCTTGATAGTCCTGCGCACAATCATGATAGCATCATGCAGGGACCTCTCCGTCTCCTCCAGGAACTGTTCTGATCCACCACGCAGCACAATGGTACAGGCCTTGGCAGCTGGGCAACCTACAAATGTAACAAATATTATAGAACTGTTCACAATCACCTCGCCTGACATACACTACTGTCCTGAGCGGTTGCAAGTGCTCCTGTTGAATCTGATTAGGATTTGCGAAAACTATTCTTAGCAATTTTTTGACTGCCTCGTTAATCTAGCGGTTGTAGTAGTGCGACTGCTGATCATGAGGTCCTGGGTTCGAATCCCGGGTCGGGCCAAAATTCAATTATTGAGTTTTTCTGTCAAGAAATTCTCAGTAGCTGCCTGGAGTTAGGAAGTTGGCGGTGTCACCCCCCCGTGCCTCGGAAAGCATGTAAAGCCGTTGGTTCCGCGCCTGGTCTCTCTCCGGTCGTGTTGGTTTACCGCCCCATCAGATTATGAGAGTGAGGGAATAGAGAGTGCACCTGTGCTTGCACATACACTTGGGCACTATAATCCTGTCCTGCGCCGATGGCTAGTCTTCGTTGAGGCAGGCCGCCGTGGCTGGAATTCGGTCTGGAGGACATTATTATGAAACAATTTCTAAAAGAATAATTCCTATTCAATATAGATATTACAAGTAATTCTTATTGAAAGTATTTTTTTTTTACTTTTACCACCAAACCTAGTTATGTCAAACAAATGGCCAGTTCCAATAATATCCTATAGACAGAATTTCAGTCACGATATAATCAATGTAGACTAGCCATCTTGGCAGGAAAAGATTATAGTGCACAAGAGTACGCGCAAGCGCAAGTGCACTCTCTATTCCCTTTCTCTCATAGTAAGATGGGTTGGCAATCCAACACGACTGGAGAGAGATCAGATACGAGACCAACGGCTTGACGTGTTTTCCGAAGCACAGGGGTGAGACACCGCCAATTTCCTGACCTCGGGTTGCTTCTGAGAATTTCTGGACAAGAAAACCAACTAAGTTATTTTGGCCCGACCCAGGATTTAGTGCATGAGTGTGTTCAACCACATAATCCTCTGTCCTGCGTAAACGACTAGTCTCTGTTAAGACTGGCCAAGGTGACTAAAATTCGGTCTGGAAGACATTACTATTCTCTTGTTATTTTATATTAAGGGCGGATTTTACGATAGATAGATAAAGCGTGTAGTGGTCGTGTTAAGAACTATACACTACCCTATATCACCCGGTGGGTGTCGTCAGAGGGAAATTGAAACAGGTGATGGCAACAGCATAGAATGCTATAATACATACATAATAGAACGGTGGAGTGTGCGGAGCCCGTGTAGCCACTAAAATGTCACTAACACGTCAATTCACACGTATAATTGTCAACACGAGATGTGTTTTGACGTTACAATCGTTTCCAAATTTCGCATGCAAATTATTTAGAAAATACCAAATTGCACACTATTTACAAATAAATATGTATTAAAATTTAAACGATTTTTTTAATGATGATCTAGAACATTAATCAAAAGTCTAAAACGTGTAAAGTTACTCAGTCTGTCAAAACATTTGACATTTTCCACGACTCGTTGTTTAAATTTATACGAAAACTGGCCGGCCCTTTGTGAAGAGACATTCGTTCTTAGTTAAGTTTTTAAATTTTTTTTGGTGAATATTACTATTTTATTGTTTTAAAATTTTCAGATATCCTCTCAACTGTCCCGGCCAAAATGCCCGCTTTGGCGCATCTGTCCAACCCTAAACGAGTGATTTATTGCCTACGTGGCGCGTGTCATTAAAATGGCAATATCTTAATAATTATGTATGGAAACTGTATAAAATAATATTATGTTGTTTGAATTATTGTTGAGTAAGCTAATAGAATATGTGTAAATGTGTACGTTCACCTTTTTTATATTTTCTAAATTCCATGATAAAAATGCTAGAAGCGATTTTTTTCCAGTTTGTTGAGTAAAAAATGTAAAAAATAATGATTATTATTATTTCAATAAATATTTATTTTATAGATAATACACTTTACAATAATTAATAAAAACACAACTCCGCGTACACTTTTTTTACACCACAAGCTCGACAATAATGTGGGCCACTTAAGATGACCCGAAACAGGCACAAAAAGGCACATTTTGTACTTCAATAGCGACAATTCCATACCGAAATAATTAGGTTAATGATATTAAAACAATTTTGTACGAGTTAGAGGGAGACATGTATACATTTACTATGGCTGTTTCTTGTCTGAAGTTTATAAGTAAATAGCAACCTTCTAAAGGTTGTGGACAGACGCGTACTTTTTTTTAGAAGCTTTTGGACTGACGAGAGGATATGTTGTTACTAAGTCCGGTTTTAAAGCTCGATCGACCGTCGCGTCGGTGCGTACCATCGGTCCTGACGATACGCATAACCGATCATCAGTTTGTAGCGTTCAGAGCTCCCCTGAGCGTAACATGGACGCGTTTACAAATTGTTTAATTGCTGGTTACTATGTTCGTAAACGTATAAGGAACAGAAGACGTAGATATCAGGTTCACCCAATCGTCGCCCAAAGAGCACTTCAAGGGGAATTTACTACTTTATATTCAATATTGTGCGAAGATGAAGAAGATTTTTTTAATTACTTTAGAATGTCAATCAAAAGTTTTGATGAATTATCAGTGAAATTACAAGACAACTTAAAACATCCGCGAGGCGTTCGGTGTCGACATATGCCATGTTTGATAAAAATTACTTAAATCACTAACACTACTTAATACCTATAAAATCATACAATATTATTAAAGTTTAGGTTCGATTTTCTTGACGATGATACACGCATCCGCACGGTCGGTGTACCACTGAACGAGTCAATATGTTTCCATAGCGCGTCGGTCGACCGACGGTACACTCGTACGCGCTGACACGTGCTACATACGCGTGCGTGTCGCTCGGTCGAGCACTGTAACGACTTGTGAATTTTCATACAAAAGGCAAGCGCGCCCGACGTACTCACCGACGGTCGGTCGAGCTCTAAAACCGGTCTTAATATCTTCTGTCAATAGATATATGTATAATAATAGGTATATGTATAAGGAATTGTGTTTTATAAATGTAACTCTTATAAAATGTATACATGTACTGTTGGTGTACCTTTTTAAATAAATACAATAAATAAAATAAAAACAGCGATTCGGGTTTGTAGTAGTGATAATACGACGTAATTGCTTGTATGTGTGCTCCCAGCGACACCGATCCTCGTACAAAATAAGTTTGACAGCCATTCTATTGTGTATTATAGTATTCTATAATAAGTTCAAATAATAAAAAACTGCGGTTGAAAACCCGCTCAACAAGCATGTCATGTCTATGGCAAAATCCCCCCATGAGGCATCTATGGGGGAGGTCTATGTGCAGCAGTGGACTTTTATAGGCCGTAATGTTAATGAAACTATAATTTTAAATTTGTTTCTGTTATATTTTAACAAATAAATTTTAACAGAGGATGAAAAATCGGCCATAAGTCATGCTTAACCACAAATTAATGTTTTTTTTTTCAATTGATACTTATACAAGTCAAATCTTTCTAAATTACTAACTATATACAAACTATTTAAAACTAAGATTTAAATAAGATATTTATATACTATAATGGGAAAATACCTAATAAAAATACGAATTATTAAACTAACTAATTGACTACTTTACATCGAAGAACCAAGAATCTCTGGGTAAGAAAGGTTCTCGTGTGGCAGTCTTATACATTTTTATTAATGGTAAGAAACTACTTATTTCAAAATAAAAACAGCTCCATTGTTTAATCGATGACTCTCTGCAAATGTCAAGGTTGAGACACACGAGATAGAAAATATACTGATATGACGAGTTACATTTACATGTTACCTACTTGCTATACTGTCAACAATTAAAGTAAAAAATCTCACCGTCAGGAACGCCCTTGTTGTGACCTAACAATAGATAATTGTTGAACAAAAAGTTAAAACATTTTAAAGTACCTTGCCGCTTAGTGATTTCGATTTATCAGGCTAAGGTTGAAATGCTTTTGTTTTAGAATAAGGGTGACATGAGCGCAGTGCACCTGATGTTAAGTGGAGTGGCACACATCTACATCTATCCCTGATTAAGAATAAAAATGTACATGCGTTGTCACTCCTGAGGACTCTCCTGAGGGTATCCAGTTCTCTACTTTCACTATACGAAACGCAGCAGCCTTAAGCTGCTATTTTACGCTGGTATTCTATGGTTGCGTGATTGTTCACCAAATAAGCCGGCCCATTCATGCTACTACTAATATAGCTGCAGCGTGGCTCTACCATGTATGCTGACGGTTTTATTTCAAAACGTGATTTATTGTAAAAGAACAGTGTTGTGAGTATTGAGAGCGGCGCTAATATCCCGAAATTTGGCAGTTGTTATCAAATTCCATACTTTGCTAATTTGGTTCACATATTTTCCTTTATTTAATCTGACTTTAGTTCAACTAGTTAAATACTAGTTTTTGTAATGAAGGTATCAAAGTTGAAGTCATGTAATTTCATTAAAAATTTCATACTAGTTGTGACTCGCGAATTCAATCGATCAATTTATTACCATTGGAATTCTTGCGTTATAATTGTTTTGGATGGAAGCCTAGTTTATTTTCTAATATAAAAGTAGCCAAGTTACTTCACATAAGATCAGCTATCTGTTAGTGAAAGTACACACAGTCAAAATAAAAGCTGTTATTTTGACATTACAAATAGAAACTTCAATTTTATTTATTTAACCGACTTCAAAAAGTAGGAGGTACTCAATTTGACTGTATGTCTTTCTAATGTATGTTAACCTCAGAACCTTTTTCTGGGTGAACCGATTTTGATGAGCTAATGGTAAAGCTGATGCTTCTCGTGTGGTCCCATATAAATTTGATCAAGATTAATAATGAGTGTTTCATTGACTGTGACTATATTTATGATATTCTCATTAGGTATACTCATTTGATAAGGGCAGTGGCGGCGTACTACATAAGATAATCCATTATCACATATCATCTCGTGGGTGTCCTAAGAGGCGATATGGAGAAACTAATCAAGAGATAAAAAGCAGCATATTGTTGATTACAACTAAAAACAATAGAACCTGTGTAAAATATACGGCAATCTACAATTGGGATAAATGTACAGGAGTGGACTCTCACACGTAATGTAGAAGATCAAAGCTCACCGGTGAAAATGTTGTATCTCTCCCCTCCAACCTGCTTCTCGGTGAAGTGCTGGCAGCGGCCCAGGCTGTCAGGCTTCACATCGCGCACGGAGCTGAGCACAGCGCCCCCGCACGCGCGCTGCGTGCGCTTCATGTCCTCCGCGGGGACTCGACCCGCACAGAACATGTCACTGGAGTTTAAAAATGTTTCTTCATTAAATATGATTTTTTACCGTATAGTGGAGTATAACAATATCCACTAGCCTATATCATTCCGTGGCTGTTGTAAGAGGCGGCATAGGGAAACAAATCAGTCTTCAGTGTAATCTGCCCATCCACTTGCCACGCGTGGCAACTATGGCAAATATCCTCCTTATGACCTGTGGGAGAAGCCTATGATCAGCAGTGAACTTTAATAAGCTGTAATAGTAATTAAATTTATTGTGATTATTGTTAATCACAGCAGTTTTACTAGATTTATGGTGTTTAAATGTATTATTGAATTTTTCTATGAATATAATCTCAGTAGCAGCCCGGAGGAAGTTAGCGGTGCTTCACCCTTGCGCATCGGAAAGCACGTAAAGCCGTTGGTCCTGCGCCTGATCTCTCTCCGGTCGTGTCGGTTTACCGGCCCATCGGATTATGAGAGTGAAGGAATAGAGTGCACGTGTACTTGCGCATATACTTGGGCACTATAATCCTGTCCTGCGCCGATGGTTAGTCTCCGTTGAGGCTGGCTGGGTGACCGAAATTCGGTCTGGAGGACATTACTATTATAGTTGTAGCACTGTGTCAGCTCTCACAGAATAACAGCATTAAATAGTAGTTTAATGCTGCTGCGTTTCGTATGGTGAGTGTAGAGAACTGGAGACCCTTTTTACTGGAAATGAGTCATTCCATCTTAGTCTTCACGGATAACAACGCATCTGCATTTTGATTTGCAATCGAGGATAGATGTCTATGGGCCACAGCAACCACTTACCATCAGGTGGACTGTGTGCTCGTTTGTCAGCCTTATCCTATATAAAATAAAACAAAAAAAACTTGTGCACTATAATCTTGTGCTGCGCAGATGGCTAGTCTTCGATGAGGATGGCCGCTGTCACCTAAATTCGGTCTGGAGGACATTGTTATTGTATTTGATGACCATATAGTGGTGTTAGAATATTCACTACACCATATTATATTACATTACATACATTATCTTAATATAAATTTATGAAAATAGATTTTATAATCATTCTGTATCATGATTATTCACAGAATGTAATAAGTTCACTATGTGAATTTACGCTCATCGCCTAAAACTATTACATAATTATGTACCCACAAATAGTTTATCAAATAGTAACATAATATTTAATGCACCTAATTTAAGTTGATAATAATATTATTGTAACTTTGGTAATGTATTGTTATGTGTTAATTAGAATAATGTGTCGACAACAATGGTGTAGGAAAAACTCTGAGTTTATGTTTACACTAAAACTATTTATTTTTATAATTTTAAATTTCTTAAATAAATAAATAAAATATCATACTGTGGGGCAGGAGATGGGCAACAGCATCTTCCTGATTGCAGCTCAAAGTAATAAAGAACTGTTGGCTAAGTAGTACCCCGCGGCGTGCACGAAATCAATGGATGCAAGTGACTCATGACCATGTTTTGTGGAATCCTTCGGGAAGGCCTATATACCCAACAGTGGATTCGTGATGGGGGCATTCAAGTATTAAGTAACCAGGCTCAGGGGGGAGGTTCACTTTTCCTTACTTTTGCTGACAAAGGGATCAGGGGAATTAATTTTCTAATTTTATTAAAACATTAATACTTTATTGGGATATTCCATTTATACACCCTAAAATATTCACCTTGAGATATGTATATACCTTATAGCACTATTAATAATGAATTTACTGACAAGAACAGATCCTATTCCATAATATACACAACATAACATATTGTTACGCGCTCAAGTCGAGGATACACTAGCGCCATCTAGTGTCAGGAACGAGAGCGAGGGGAGCATTGAGAAAATGACATCACAAATCACTCGACCGACAGCGCCACCCGAAGAACTAAGTTTCTGGAAAATCTACACTCGAATACTCGTTGCCTGGCGCGCATTTACTTGAATGTTCGGGACGCTTCTTTGCTAATTATATAAATAGGCGCTGCAAGATGCGATCGAGGCAGAGTATTGAATTGGCGATACGAGCGAAGCTTCGAAGCGGAATTAAGTGAATTAGTGTGTTTAATTATTAGTGTTTTAAGTTTTAATTTGTGTAAAGTAAATTAAAGTGTTAATTTAGGTAATTTTATCGGCAATTTTTATTGTCACGAACCGCAAGCTCGTAACAATTGGTGTCAGAAGTGGGATAAAATCATGCCGATTTTACCTAAGGAGAAAACGGAGGGTGTTCGTACCCGCAGTCAACGCCAGCATGAGACGGACCAGAGAAGATTTGGTGGTGCAACGCCGCAGACGTCGGAGGGCCAGCCGCCGGCAACGGAGGCCGGTTCGTCAGTAGCTCCTGCATCTGCAGCACCTGACTTAGGTGCTCTGATGGTGATGCTGCAGGAGCAGGCTCGCCGACAGGAGGAACAGGTCCGTCGGTTGGAAGAGCAGCTGCGGGGCGGACAGGATGAGCAGGCGCGCCGACAGGAGGAACAGGCCCGTCGGTCGGAAGAGCAAATGCTCCTCATCAAGGACCTTCATGCTACTTTTGGGAAAGAGATAAAGGAGGTGAAGGATAGGGTTGCTCAACATGACAACCGCCTGTCGGAAGCTGAGACCCAAATCAACCAAGTTAAGAAAACGCTGGATGAACTCAAGCTTGGAGATGGAATTGCAGCTCCCGTAGTAGCTACTACACCTTCGCTACGTGGGTTCAAGGTGCCACCATTCGACGGGACTTCTTCCTGGTCAGCCTACAAAATCCAGTTCGAAGCTGTTATGAAGGCGAACGGCTGGAATAAAAATCAGGCCATGACTGCTATCACACTAGGCCTGCGCGACCAGGCCTTAACAGTTCTGGAAGCTCTCGGTGAGGAAGTGACTTATGAGCAACTCCTTGAGTTGCATTGGAGGTGAGATATGGCGACGCTCACCTGGAACACGTCTTTCGTGCGCAGCTTAAAGATCGCGTGCAGCGCATCAACGAAAACCTGCAGCAGTGGGCTCTAGAGGTGGAGAAGCTGGTGCAAAAAGCATACCGGTCTGTACCTGCGCTCATTGAAGGGAACCTGGTGCAGACATTCATCGACGGCATCCGTGACCTGGAAGTCAGAGCTGCTGTGAGGCTCGGGCACCACGAGACGCTTAAGAACGCCTTGGCCCATGCACTGGAGGTGGAAGCCGTGCGGCAGGATCACCGTTCCCATCGCGTCAGGGAGGTTGCAGCAGCTACAGTCCGTGACCGCAGCAAAGGATACAGCCCAAGGTGCTATGGCTGTGGGGAAAAGGGCCATCTTCGATCCAGCTGCACTAAACTAACCGTGGTAAGGAGAGTTGATCGATCTAGAGAGGTTAGTACAGCTAACGGCACTGCCTGGCGGCGACAGGATCATCTTTCACCTGACGCTAGGGAGATTACAGCAGTTACGGTTCGCGACCACAATAAAAGATACAGCCCTAGGTGCTATGGCTGTGGGGAAAGGGGCCATCTTCGGTCCAGCTGCCCTAAGCACACCCTAGGAAGGGAAGGTGAACGGTCTCAGAAAGGAAGTGCGGCTAACAGCACCGCCCAGCAGCAGCAGGAATACGACTTTACTATCAGACACTGCAGCGGGAAATCTCACGGCAACGCAGATGCATAGACAAGAAGACCTTGTCCTGAAGATTGCAACCATTGTAGTAGGCAAGAGAGTAAGGAAGTAGTATCCGTGAGGATGCTCAGGACAGACCACCTCAGCAACGGGTGGAAGGACAGGCTACGACATGCACAGCAGGAAGATCCGGACATCAAGCCGATTCTGGGATGGATGAAGGCCCGTGCTACCAAGCCTAAGTGGAGGGACGTCTCAGCGATGAGTTCAACCACGAAAAGCTATTGGGCCCAATGGGACAGCTTGCTGATTCAGGATGGAGTCCTGTGCCGTAAATGGGACAATGGTCGAAGGGACAGCTGTCGTTTGCAAATGGTTGTCCCTAAAGCTAAAGTGCCGAATGTTCTACAGCTGTGCCATAATGGTCGTTCAAGAGTCCATCTGGGAGTTAAACGAACTCTACTGAAGGTCCGAGAACAGTTTTACTGGGTCCATTATCGTGACGATGTCGAGGATTGGTGTCGTACATGTACAAGTTGTGCGGCCGTGCGGGGACCTCAGACACGTAGTAGAGGAGCACCGAAATTGTACAATGTTGGTGCACCACGGGATAGAACAGCCCTTGACATTGCGGAGCCGTTACAGAAAGGCGCAAGAGGGACTCCTAAGATCGTCCATGTGGATCGCTTGGCGCGTTATTATGGGGCCGATAATGCTCGGGACGAGCATGTCTTAGGAGGGGGCAGTGTTATGCGCTCAAGTCGACGATACACTAGCGCCATCTAGTGTCAGGAACGAGAGCGAGGGGAGCATTGAGAAAATGACATCACAAATCACTCGACCGACAGCGCCACCCGAAGAACTAAGTTTCTGGAAAATCTACACTCGAATACTCGTTGCCTGGCGCGCATTTACTTGAATGTTCGGGACGCTTCTTTGCTAATTATATAAATAGGCGCTGCAAGATGCGATCGAGGCAGAGTATTGAATTGGCGATACGAGCGAAGCTTCGGAGAGGAATTAAATGAATTAGTGTGTTTAATTATTAGTGTTTTAAGTTTTAATTTGTGTAAAGTAAATTAAAGTGTTAATTTAGGTAATTTTATCGGCAATTTTTATTGTCACGAACCTCAAGCTCATAACAATATTATTTCCAATTGATAAAAACTGTCACCTATGTGGTGTGCAAAATATTAATTGATGTAAATTACTTTATAAATAACAGTAAAATAGTTAATTGTTTAATGTAATTGTAATATTTAATTTTAAACTATTTCTGTATAAATATATATCTCATAATTACGGACATACCATTCTACAGAAATTATTATATATACCAAGTATTAGCAGTGGCTATTGTTTAATGCAGCGGTCGGTGCAAGCGCGACTCAACAATAATTCGCGCCGCGCCACCAGTACGATTACGTATGCCATACTGTTCGTTTGTTGACTGTTTACTCGTGATAAGAAACTGTTATTATAATTAATACATTCGCTTGATACTCTTAGTTCTTGTGCTATCTTTATATATATAACTATCACTCTATTCTCCTTCTGTGGGTTGTAAAAGACTTGTAACTTGTGTAAATTATAATTATTTAAACTGAAAGACTATTGAATTTTATTTTACTTACACAAGCAGCACAACAAATATTCAATTGAACTATACCTATATGACCAAGAATTACCAGTGTTTTTATTTTTTAGTTATTCATTATAGTAAACTGTGTGGTGTCTTAAATAAAATAATTTTTCGCCATGTTGTGGATTTATTGGCATAAAATGATAACTGGCATTAAGTCCGCCCTTTGTAACAACCTATGTGATTACAACAATAAAGTTTTAAAATAAATAAATAAACTCTAAGTCAATATCCTCACCGATCAGCAAAGTACTGTGTGGCCACATCACCGATGGGCAGCATGCTAAGCACCACGTTAGCACCACTAGCATGAAGCGCCGCCAGTTTCTCGTACAGGATCTGCCACTCCGCATCAACCACCTTCTGGTACTCCTTCACATTGTCCAAACGGATCTGTAAGGACGGGGGACAGAGAACAGTTACAACTTTGTAGGTGACATTTCAAGGGTGTTTGTACTTGTAGAAGGTCATATATTGTGGTAGTCAACAGGTCTTCTGTAATTGGATCCGTTTGTTATAATCATGAAATGATGAAGAGAATAACACAAAATAATTCCTCAGTGGTTTGTTCTTAATATTTCTTACATTTTCAACGCTGTTGCACGCCTCACAACGTGGGTTAATGCTCTACTCTCGATATGTGGCCATACCTCAATTTTGCTACATAAAATCGTTCTTATACTTTTAGATTTAGAATCATCAAATCCATATTATTATTAACGTTAGAATAAATACAGACGTTGAATTATAAATGTAGTTTATTTTAGAATTGATTCACTTTAGATTACATGACAAAAAGTGTAATTGATATAATACAAGGACTGCCGTTTGTTGGTATGTGCGTCGGTGAGTCTTCTCGATTAATAAAAATGTAAGCGATAGTATTAAATAAGATTCCATATATTCTCAGTCCCAAATGAGTTTTGTTATTGAACTCAACACTGTTTAAGTTATTTATCTTTTTCATCAAAACTTAATTTAGATTAAAAAAGGCAATAGGCAAAAGGCATCCTCAAAGGTACACCCTCTTTTGTCCAGGATTTTGTCTAGCTAAGAGACTTACTATTCTCTTACCTATTTGTACTGCAAAGCAGCGATACTACCTGCATTGCTGTGTTTCAGTCTTAAAGAGTGAACACATCTATAACCTTCTTTGTTTGAAAGTGCAGATGTCTTTGGACTTCAGTAGCCAAATAACACCAGGATAACTGTAAGTTTGTTGATTGTTTCAATAGTACAAAAAAACACATGGAAAGCCAAACTGATGTATCTTCAAAAAGGCTAGTAGATCCTCAAAGGCTGTAATGTTACCTGTGCATTATCTCTCTCAGCTTTCAACTCAAGCTCGATATTGAGTAGAGCAATTTTGCAGTCTTCATAGCTCTTGGGCTGCATCTCAAAACCGGCATACGAAAATGTTTTCTTGAAGGCCACTCCGGAGACCAGGAAGGAGTCTTCTAGAGCACCTCCGGACACTTTCTTGATGCCTGAGAGTAATATAATCAATGTGAGAATTCATTTAAGACAAAACATCTGCAACAAAGATCAGTATGATGGTTGTGACAATATTTTGGACATGAAGCCGAAAGGCTGCAAAGTTTATATTTCTAGATATTGCCTCATGTCTACTATCAACATCCACACAAAAAATTCAGTAATTGGATCCATTTGTTAAATCATTGGCAATATTTTTATATTAACATCAATACATAAATAGCCCACTGTGGACATAGATCCTTTCTAAGTTGTGAAGATAGATAGACGGTAATCACCACAGTCACCAGGCAGAGTGGTGTTGAAAATGTCTATTCCCTGCCATCAAATTGTGGTAAAGCCATGCTGTAGCATGAAAGGGTTGGCTCGGCTGCGGAAGGACCACACTCTCACAGAATATCAGCGTAAAATTACAGCTTCACACTATTATGTTTTGTATGGCGAGTGTACAGAACCAGAGTCCCACATTACTAGAAACGAGGCATTTAATCCTCAGAGATGAAAACAAAATGGCATTTTGATTCTTAATTAATGATTCATGTAGATGTCTATGGGCCACAGCATCCACTTACCATCAGATGGACTGTGGGTACGTTTCTCACCCATATCCTACAAAAAATCTATCTATATATTTTATTTAAGCATCTGTTGAGAAACCATAAGAGACATTAAATGTTGCCCACTTTTTCCATTAATTTGTTTGTATTTTTTAAGAGTTCATTTGTTATTCTCGTTCATAAAAAATAATTGTCACTCACCAATCATATCTAACGGCAGAAGCGGAGCATCCAGTGACAAAACGGCATCCACAACAATCTGTGAGAAGTGACCCTTCTGCTGATGGATCAGCTTCGATGACATCGCCGTGGACGCGCACTTGCGGAGAAGTTCCCTGAAAGTAATCACGTATGTTGCAAGTACGCACTGAATTTACAGTCATTACTATTAAAACATCTTTTTAGCTGACTTCAAAATTAGACTTTAAATAACTGTGGTAAATTTTTCTGTGATAGTAACTGTTCAGACTACATTCTAGCTGTTACTTGGTTGTTGTCTTGAGCCTGTGACATTCCTTGTTCCACACAAAATGATATATATTATACAAAATAATAATATTAATATGTGGTAGAGCCATAGAATACTATAATAGACAATAGAATGGCTGTCAACCTTATTTTGTACGAGGATCAGCGTCGCCGGGAGCACATATACAAGCAATTCCGTCGTATTATCACTACTACAAACCCGATTCGCTGTGTTGACAGACTGAGCGAACACATAGACTTCAGATTTATGTTTTTGACACATCGATATTTCTTTATTTGTTTCTAATATTCATAAAATATAAATAGTTTCGACTCAGTGGTTGTAAGATATGTCTCCTATATTTAAATTCCATTTCCCACTGTTCTTTCAACACGTAATTATTGCAGAATTTGCCATTTTTTTTTAATAATTTGAATGCAGCGACGTTTGACACGAAAATTGGAAATGATTGATTGTGTTGACATTTATAGGTGTGAATTGACATGTTAGTGGCTACACGGGCTCCGCCCACTCCCTCTTTCTATTATTTATGTATTACAGTACTCTGTGGTGAGCCACGTTGCAGCTATATTATGGTTGTAGCACGAATGGGTCGGCTCGACCGGGTAAGGACCATTTTCACAGAATACCAGCGTAAAATAGTAGCTTAGTGATGCTGTGTATGCGTATCGCTATGGTAAGTGTAGAGATCTGGAGACCCTCTTTTACTGGTAACGAAGCATTCCATTTTAGTCCTCAGAGGTCGCAACGCATCTGCGTTAGGATAAATGTAGATGTCTATACGCCACAGCTACTTCTTACCATCAGGTGAACTGCGTTGTGCTCGTTTGTCACCCTTCTATAAAAAGGGATAAAATTTTTATTTATTTAAAATCATTTTTGCACATAAAGTGGTACAATTGGCAGACTTAATGCCTTGAGGTATTACTCTACCAGCCAACCACTAGCTAAGCAGAGATACTCAAACCGGTCTCATAATAAGATTAAAATATGTATATATAACCTCTCGAGCGCCCGGCCACAGTTTTACGGTGGACTGTTTTACCCCCGATAAGCGCCCATCGACCGTTATACGGTGGTGACGTAGTTGTCCCAAACAATATTTAAATGAAAAGCCGAAATAATGTTTGTCTCTTTCTATAGTCGTATTTTTAATTAGACGAAGCCAACTGACAGTAGCTAATGTCACTTTGTAAAATAATGTTGCCATATTTAAAGTAATAGTGATGCGTTCAGTTCTCGTTCAATCAGATGAATGAACAATGAGTGTGAATAGTTAATCATTTCAAACTATAAAAGAATATTATTTCTATTTTACAATAAAATTGTATAAAAGTGCTCTGATATAAGTTACTAGTAGTATGTAACTACAATCAGTTTTTTGAGGTTTTATTACAAAGCGCGGCGCGACGACTAGTGCCAACACCGATCAACGCCGCGCGCGTCGGTCGCCATTTTGTTTGTTATTCGGCTTCTAACCTCTGGTCTGATAGCACGAATGTTTTTTCTGCGCTCACGCTGTTTAGTTATTGTTTTTGTTAAGTTTTTCGTTAGGTTGTGTTTGTGGTAATTGTTGTGTTTATTTGTTGCTATATTGTTTCGTACAAACGATATGGATCCTCAACCAAGCACGTCAAGCCAAAGCTTGTCTCCAAGAAAGAAGAGACCACGGATTGCTTTAAGCGTTACCGAAAAACTTATGATACAAAACGTCTACAAACACGTATTTGAGGAAAAAGCTGCTTCACTATTACCTATTGAGGCCCCCGAAAAAAAAGAATGTGTTTCGAAAACAGCTGACATTTTGGGAATTGGTGTGACCTCAGTTTACAGTGTGTTAAAAGAATGCAAAGAAAATGAACAATTTAAGTCTCCCGAGAAACGTGGACCGAAACACAGTTTCAAAGATAAATTAGACGATTTTACTTTTGCCGCTATAAGGCGAAAAGTACATAATTTTTTTTATGCAAATGAGTCACCCACCATTATAAAGGTAACTTAAACTTTATTCCTTCTACTGCATTATATTCTGTGTCCACCATAATGTTCTTTGTAAAACCAAAGTATTAGATTGCGTAGACTTCCTTACTCAAAACATATTTTATTACTTTACAGATTCTTAAGGTTGTCAATGAAGACCCAGACTTACCCAATTTTTCTTGGAGTACATTAAGAAATGTTATGAAACATTTAAATTTCAAATATGTCACAAAATCAAGACACAGCATTTTAATTGACAGACAGGACATTATTCTATGGCGCCAGCGATACCTTCGAAAAATTAAAGAGTATCGAAGGGAAGGAAGGTATATTTATTACCAAGATGAAACCTGGATCAATGAAGGTAATTACAATTTTCTGTTTTCTTTACATTAAATTGTACTTTCAAATAATTAATTGATATTTTTCACTATCTTGAAGGTCATGCACCGAAGAAGGCATGGATTGACCAGACAGTGTTATCGTCCCGCCAGGCCTTCCTAGATGGCTTGACCACTGGCTTAAAACAGCCTTCAGGAAAGGGCAAACGATTAATTATCGGCCATATAGGCGGGGAAGAAGGATTCGTAGAAGACAGCTTATTAATATTTGAAGCCAAAAAAAAAAGAAGATTATCATCAAGAGATGAATGCCGATTCCTTTGAGAAGTGGTTTTGGGGTGTCTTGCCAAAACTAAAACCAAATTCCGTAGTAGTGATGGATAATGCCCCCTACCACTCCAGGAAACTAGAATCGCTGCCTAAAATGTCTTGGACTAAACCTAGAATACTAGAGTGGCTAACGAGCAAAAATATTTCATTCGAAGCAACAATGGTTAAAGCTACTCTTATAGACATTGTACGGCAGCACAAGCAAGAACATTGCGATAAGTATGTTGTGGACGAGATGGCAGCGCAGCATGGGATAATTGTTTTACGTCTGCCCCCATACCACTGTGAGCTCAATCCCATGGAGTTGGTATGGGCGCAGGCTAAAGGATATGTTGCAAGAAATAACAAAACCTTCAAAATGACAGAAGTAAAAAAACTTTTTGAAGAAGGACTTCAACATATCACACCTGAAAAATGGAATAGCTGCGTGTCTCATATAATTAAAAAAGAAGACAAAATGTATGGTCTCGACCACATGATTGACAATTTTACTGACAGATTTTTAATTAATGTCACCGAAAGCGATAGTGATGATTTTTTATCTGATAATGAATAAAAACAAATTATGTAATAAGCGATTTTTTTTATTCTGATTACCTACCTATAATTGTTATATTTTATACATCTATAGTTTCAACTACATGATGTATTGAAAATAGGACAGTCTTACAAATTTCCTCGCAATATTTTCCTTAATGTTTAAAACACTCGGTATTCAGTATAGGTAGATATTATAGGAACATAGTCGTCGAAAACTCGTTGGTATGTAAAAAGCACGACTAAAATTCGAACCCCGTACCCGATATCGGCAGTTCAGCACACTAACTATTCACTAGACAATCGAGGCAATTTCATTAATTCAGGAGTTTTTCAATCATTCACTTTGTCACAACACTATTTTTATTTCATCAAAAACTGACAACACAGTAAACGTCAGTTGACTTCGTCTAATTAAAAATACGACTATAACGTATACTATATTGAAGCATAATGAAACGTTTAACAGATTTAATACACAAGCACGTATAGTTTCGAACGAAGTTGGTAAGTGTACAATTTCCTATAATTATTATTTTCGATGAAGAATGGGTATGAATACACTTATTTTGTTATAGAGCATGTTCTGATACCATCGGACGAAGATGAGGACATTTTTAACATAGGTACGCCAGATACTCATCATCTGAAGCTCTTCGCCAGTGCTGATACAGTACCTAATTCGCCTTCTTCAAACGTTTGACAACAGCCTTAAATTTGGAATTAATGTTACGGACTCCGAAAAAGATAGGAAACTTGTCCTTTGATTATTCAGACATTAGCTCAGATGATGAAACTCACTGAGTCGGTTTAATTTTGTTCCAATTGCCAACCGTTTTCTTATTCCCAATTATAATAAAATTGCAGTGTTGCTAAGCATGTAAACATTGTTTTATTTTTATCATAGTTCCATTGATCACGAGAGGCGTTCAACATACCGGCCAAGTACATACGAGAGGTGGGCGAAGTACTGGGCGCGTACGCGGGGTGGGCAAGCACGAGGCAGTAGAGGCGGTAGACATGAGTAAATTTTACCTTTGTATTATTTTGTTTCTTTGACACATTTGCTTGTACAAAATATAACCTTACTTTAACTGTCGTTTATATATTTCATTGTTTTATTATATCGCTAAAAATGTGCTTAAGTAGTCCACATTTTAAGATCAGGTTATTTTAGGTTTTATAAAAGCATGATTCCATCTGATAAGAGACGACATACAGAGGAGATAGACCCTCTTATATTCGGTGAGAGACTAGAAGTACCCATGTATATCAAAAAACCACATCTCTGGTCACCAAGTACAAGATCCAATTTTGAGATGGCGGTGCCTTCATCTGCACAGTAAGTATCTTTATTGCAGCATGTGATTGATGATGATGAACATATATTGCCGTTTTACCATTTAACATACATACATATATTTTCTTTTTAGATTCATAGAATGTGGTGGAAGCAGATCCAGCACGCCTTGCACTTCTCAATTAGACCATTTCACCAAAAAAAAGCGTCATATTTTAACAGATATTGGAATTGACGATATTCTGAAATTTGGATGGATTTGGATGGAAAAAAGATTTGGGAGTAATGCTTTTATAAAAAATCAAAAATGCAACAAATGCACTCTCGAATACATCATAATAAAATGGAAAGAAACGA